GTCTCCGGGTTCATAGTCCAGCACGATAATCAATGTGCCACCACTCTTCATATATATACATACACACAGATGCGTCCACATGTGCTCAGACCTTCTGTAATTTATAAAGATGCTCAGTATGGTCTGCATAGTGAATATGAGTGTGCGCATAATGAGGCTGTCAGACAATGCGTAGCACATTTAGACGTGAATATTAGCTTGCCCATCAGCAAGGTGAGCGTCCAAGGTGGTGTGAGATTGATGATGAGCTGTGTGCCGTCTCTTTCTCCCTGCTCCATAACCTCCCACGTCTCCCAAGCCTTTATCTGCCCATGAGGCATTTAATACAACTGCTGTGACTTTGAACAGAAGTGACTATGAAATGATAAAGCGTTTTGACTCTTCCAAGAATTTCTCCATCCATTGACATCTTAAAACCATACTGGGTCAATCTAATTGTTAATATAATTTTTTTTTACATTAGCCACAAATGTACGATATAATGAAGTAATTTCCAGAGGTAAAAGCCATATTACATCGACACGATCCAAGTTTCCAGAAGTTGTCAATATCATTTAACGTGGAATGGGTGTTTTTTGGTCTGCGTGGCATTGAAATAAACGTTGAGATGTACTGATAACGAGGAGGCCACGCTGTTTGTGGGGTGACTAAATCCCGTGTCCGAGCACCGAGCCCGGCACTGCTTTAGATGCCGGATTCAAATCCTGGGCCCCCGCACTCGCCATTTTTGCCAGGTCATTGTGTAACAGAAAAAGCTAATCGTGTCACTCCAATGATGAATAACTGCAGAGTTGAACGTTTTAATTGCATTGCCATTTGCACTTAACTCATTATTATAGTACAGCTGTAAGTACTGGGCTGACAAAGAAATGCAGGCATGCTTGGCGCTTGCTAGACCTCCCCTACATCAAGGATCCTGTGGTCCTAATAAGTGCTCACTGACAACACCTGCTCTGACCTTCCCGCAAGAATGAATAGACAATTGTAGGAGAGTAGTGGCGCAGTGGTTTTTGCACCACGCTATGATCCCAGCAACATAGGTTTGATTCCTGGACACGGATAACATTGGTAGCGTGTGGGTTCTAAACGGTTGTCTACAAGGCTGATTGGGGGATCTGTTGTTTGTGTTTGTGTAATAGTAACAGGTATGTCTAAAATACGAACACGTCAGGGCTACGATTCACCACTGCGTAAATTGAACGCATAGCAGGTTTTCGCGACCAATATTGCGATTCGTAATTGATTTTTGGGTCGGATCGCGCGACCAGAATGTGCGTTGTACGCGCTCCTCCGCCCGACGTTCATCACGCACTCAAACATCGAGTGAAAGAACGCAAACGACGCCCTTTAATTAACGGCACGCGATTAAAACGTCATTGTCGCTGCTGCCCTACCTGCTGCCTGCCTCGCGTCTGAGCGTCGTGAAGCCACGAGGCGTCTCAACGCAGACCAAGCGTGCGATGTGAGCGCCACTCGGCATGCATCGCTCGGCCTTGTCGGCTGCACAAACAGTGGCCACTCTCTCGCCTCCGCCATCCATCCACTCTCTCGCACATCGGCAAGTGCGGTGGCCACACAACAGGCGGCCGGCTGCATAGTGTCACAGCTTAGCGGCAGTGTTATTTCTTAACGTTCTACGTTTCCTGCCTCGGTTTGTCATCCACACTGCTCCGCGTCTTTTTTTCTTCTTAAATTATGTTTTTGCAATTCGATACGTGCTGCATGTGCTATAGAAGTTTACAGGAAAAAGGGGGAGATTTAGGGGGGGGTGGGGGGGTGTGCTTGGGTTTGTCGCGGAAGAAACGTTGAGAAATTTTGAGCCACAGCTGTTGAAATCTCGCTAATTGCGTCTGTGCTTTTTAAACCGACGGGGTTTCATTCTATATAAATATTGTGCGCGTGTGTGGCGTTGGTGGATCGCGCGGGAGATCTTGCTTCGTGAGCGGCAATCGCTTGCCCGTAGCGCACAGCGAGCTGCTCGGCCAAACGCATCTGTGCGGTTTCACTGTCGTCGCCCGCTACCCGTGCGGGTTTTCTCCTGGCACTCGCGTTTCCTCCCACTTGCAAAAATACTCGGCTAAGACATTGGCCAAACATCCCCAGCAAAGAACCCTTGCTGAAAAAGTATTTAGACTCGGCGAACGCTTTCCCGGATAAATAAACAGTTGTTACTTTTATTCATATTATAAGAGTCCATTCATCATTCTTAAGGGTTGACAAGAAATCTCAGCTTACCGTACGCGCCACTGATTGGTTTTGCAGTAACGCAATTTCTCAGCTTCACAGGCATATCGCTGCCGACTGCCATTTTAGCCGCTGCCAATTGCTACCGTACATCTGAAGTTAGCGGAAATAACAGAGACGTGGGGAGCACCAGAGCTTAGTGTCTTAACCGAATAATATTTAATATCGGGAAGGAGGCATTACAATACATATCTCCAAACCCTCAATGCGTGTGGAGCGGTGCTAATCTCAAATTGCAGCTCTGAGCTGGTGATCAAATTCCACTTTCCTATGACAAGGGCCAGTCAATTGGTGGTGGTTGTTATTTTTATTGACCCTGGTGGGGTGGTTATGGGTTGAGTCAATCCCCGCCGCCCCCCCACGCACCCCCACTGGGAATTGAACTTGTCTCGCAAGTAGAATGATCTCATCAAAGAGCCGCCCGTCCCCACCGACCCACCGACCCACCGACCCACCGACCAACCCACTGACCGACCCACCGACCAACCCACTGACCGAGCGTATATTAGCGCCACACTTAAACCTTCGCGGGGTGCCTGCGAGATCTCACCTATTCACTCGAGGCGGCGGCGGCGGCGTTGTAAATGGCATCGCCTTGTGTTTACAAAAGTGAGCGCCTGGGCAATTTGCCCCCTTTTTACGACGGTGGTAAAATAGCCCACTCATGTGAGTGCAACTTTAATGGGATCTTTTATGTCCATAAACATTAAAACAATTGCGGCCCAGTTCATAACGAGCCTGCCTCTTGTCATTAAGAAGGGCCCTTTTCTCCTCCACCACCCTCGAAACCAAAGTCGACAGGAGGACAGTAATGGGTCTCTGTTATCTTTTCGGTCCCTGTGGTAGGACGTCATTAAGCGTGGCACGCGGCGGTAACGAGCCGCGCAGGATGCGGCATTCCTTGGTCGTATTTGCGCCGGCTTATTGGAAAATAAAGCAGGGGAGTAAATAATAGCGGTATTAATGAAGAGCCGCTCGCAACATCTCTCCTTGCCGCTGTGACGTGAAGTGTTGCAGAATAATGGGGCTCCGTAATTTCTCTGGGATATTCTCGGTTGTTTGGCTGCGGCAGTATTTTTTGTGTGCGTGTTATAGCCGAGTTGTAATTAAATGCACTGAAGGACTAGATTAGGGCATGGTTGACATGCCACTGGAAATGTTTACTTAATAAGCGACGAATATTCCTCTTCTCGTAACTGTTATTTTGCAGCAGCGTTACCGTTGCGTGTTTTGAGTGTTTGCGAGTGCATTGGAATTGTCGACCGTGCGCGATAATCCTGGCTACCGGGGCTCTATTTCTGGTTTCACTTACCGTTGGAAAATGGTCATTCAACCTGGCTTGGGCCTCCCCTAGGTCAGCTTGGCCTAAACAGAGTACCTGACGTGGTTTGTGAACATCAGTGCTGGAGAGACAAAGGTGGCATCACCTCCATCTTGTGTGCCATGCTGCCTTCAATTTGTCCACTCAGAGAGCTAAAGAGCAGTGGCCCCGTGGTTACCGCACTGCCCGCAAATCCAGTCAATGGAGGGTGATTATTTGCCACACCTAAATTCAGTGGTGAGTGGTATCGGTGCGAGTGACCAGCGTGGTGAAGTTTGGTCAAACAACTCCCACGACTGCCGTGGCGTGGCAAGGCCTTCATCCACGAGTAGAATGACCATCGGGCCGTGAATTATTAATTGTTATTGTTAATTGCAAGGACCACCAGTGACAAAATATCACTTGCGGTTTTTGCATTTAACACGTAAAACATGCACATTTTTCATTATTGGACTTAAGCGTACGTGTTTGAGACGTCAAAATGTGACACGCCTGCTCGTTGTGGGGTTGTCTTTGTCCTCTGTAACTGCGGAGGCGGTTGTGCAGCGACTGAACGGCTAGGATTCGCGATTGTGGCAGCTGGCGATAATGCTAAAAGCCGCAGTGGCTACGACCCCTTCCGTGACCTCTTCTCGCGACGTCCGCCGGCCATCAGAGCACGGCATCCGCAGAAGCCAGTCTCACAAACACGGGCCGGAACGTCCCAATTGTCCTCGGTGAATGTTCTCTCTCATGCACGTGGGCATTTCAGGAAGATAAACGCAGTAAAAGAGCATAAAGAAAAGGCAGGAGCCGAGATAAGAACTCTAATCTTACGGGGGTCCCCTTACATCACTGCCTCCGCGTGCTCCCTCTGCATCACCTGACCACGTGCCACGACTAAACCTTCCTGCCCTACCCTCGCTGTTGCCCCCTTCCCGTGCAAGCACCCACTGGGATGTTTTCGGTGTGTGGAGAGAGAGTGGTTATCGCGCCCTCGCCACCAATTTAGATGCCTGAGTTCGATTCCCGGCCGTGGCTAACATCAGAGGCAAAGTGGGATGTGTGTGTGTGTACGTATGCGTGTTGAACTTGTTTCGCACCGTACGTAGCAAACCACGCTAATGGGAGATGCTCGAGAAGGACAACAATCTAAACACAAAACTCAGTTCTAAATAAATTAGTTTTCAATCTAGATATGAAAGTACATAGCTCTAGTAGCTTCCTAATAACTGAAGGAGGTGCATTCCAGACGGCTACAAGAAGTGCACCTGAAGGGGGGTGATGCGGTGACCGATCCTGCGGCCTCCCTTCACCACCCGCACTGACCAGTGTGGTGAAGTATGGTCAAACAACCCCAATGACCAACACGGCAAGGGGCGGCCTTCACGCAAATAAAAGTGTAACTTTAATAAAATACGACAATGTGTGTGTGTGTGTGTATGTACTATCTCAGGTTCTTCATGCTGCAGCAAGACAGTACCTCATGCAGCAGCAGCAGCAGCACCAGCAGCACCAGCAGCATCAGCAGCATCAGCAGCACCAGCATCAGCAGCAGCATCAAGGAGGCGGTGTGAAGTCTCCAAAATCAGACAAGCAGCCATCGTTGCAGGTAAGCTGGCGCCCATCAACTCTCGCACTCATCCGTCTACCCGCCCTGTGAGAGATGAAACCAGCTGGGACACTCAGGTGCACTGCCGTGGAGAACACTGCAATGACAGCAAAATCCATCTTCAAGGTCATCATCGTCAATTCACTGATGAGGTCATTACCATGTCTCCATGTTAATACAAGCATTATAATCATCATCATCACCACCACAACCACCATCATCGTTATCATATCTCTACCCGATGAATTTTTTCCCATATCTTCATGCCACAATATCATCATCATCGTAACAGTAGCAGCAGTTTGCATTTTGTAAGTAAAACAGAGATCTGAACGTGCTCATAGTGGCGGCATTGTATGGTTTATGCATTGTAAATTTCAACTGGAATGCTTGTTTCAATGTTTGGTTCACTTGCAACGAAAATACAGCTGCACATTTATTGTTGCTGCTGGGTGGCATTTTTTCTGCCAAACACGTGTTTGCCGGGCATCTCGTGAAATCGTTGCATCCCGGTCTTCCAAAGGACCTCCCCTCTTGCAATCCTTTCTCCACAATATACATAACCAAGTTCACGCATATATCAGCCTTTGCACCACTGGTATCCCAGGGGACCGGGTGGCGCACGCTAATTGTCAAACCCGAGTCATGCTGCCGATGCCGTTCTCGTTACAATTCACACGGCAACGCGGTTCCAAGTGGAGCCATTGTTTTAAAGGTGCAGGCGCTGCACTCCATCTTCGTGATGGCTAATGTTGATGTTGAGCAACAATTGAGCTGCTTGAGCCCATATCATTGCGTCAGGAGTCGCGGAAGATGGCCCCCACTCTGCTAAGTGAGAAAATGCACAACTGATAATGCCATCATCAACATCGATCAACGATCTCCCTCCCGGTTTCTAGAGCACTACATCACGCCTACCGCAAGGCTGCCGCAACCGTTGCTCCCGGTTGTACTTGCGACCTGGTGCAGAGTATGATACGTGTTGCGCAGGTGAAACAAGCACAGGTCACTGTTTTTAATTATTTGCCTTGTTAAACATTTTAATAAAGTGGCAGTGCAGACTGCAAGGCAACGCTCGACACACGAAAGGACAGACGTGAGCTGGCGGTGCCGAGGAGAGTGGCTGACGCAAGCGCGTTTAATCACCACTGCATTGCCTGCTAACCTCCTTTGACGCTTTTAAATGTTGGTTAGTAAAGGGATCGGTTGTTTTACCGTGGCAAATATATATTTCCTGCAGACGGCTGGCTTGTTTAAGCCTCCTTAAATCCTACTTTGTCACAAAACTGCCTAATTGTATTTGGTGCTTCGCGCACAAAAATGAAAACACCCTCCAGAGTAGGTGCGTACGTGCAGGCACGTACACAACACGTTGTTCAAGTGCACTCGTGATGGTCCTGACACAGAGGTGGTAACATTCCACGTTCTGATGGCAGATGTCGGCACTCGTACATAATCATCAGTCATGATCGATTCGCTGCTGGATGAAGGCCTCCTGAAGCCATCGCCATCTCTCATGGCTCTGTGATGTGAAGTTCCACCTAGAGCCTGCAGACCACGTGATTTCATCGCTTCATCTTCACCGAGGGCAGGGGTCGGCAACCTACGGCTCCGGAGCCGCATGCGGCTCTTTACGGGCTGCTTCTTGACGATATGTACCTGAGTACAGTATGTACTCAGATGCATTGCGGCTCTTGAAATACTGAATTTTGTACCGAATTGGAAAGAAATGGCTCTTCTTGTTATTTTGGTTGCCGACCCCTGACCTAGGGTGTCCTCCTGAGTGCGTTCCACTCCGTGGCTGCCACTCCGTCGCTATGGGCGCCATGGTGGCGAGATGTTAACTACCTCGCCTGCTATACATAGAGGTCGTTGGTTCGATCCCTGACAATGCCTGTATATTTGGAGTTTGTGTGTCTCTCTCCCCGCGGTCACGTGGGCTTTTCTCCAGGTCTTCCGGTTTTTCCTTCCACATTTAGAATCAACATCACGCGTTTAGAGCATTTGGCTGCTATAAATGTCCACGTGATAAGCCACTTCGTTTAACTATCATTTGTGACCAGGTCGCTTCTGAAAAAGAGCTACATAGCTCGGTGGGACTAACCTGGTAAAATAAAAAAGTTTATAGTTTTCAATCCTTGACCTTCACCCATTATTTCTTCTTTTCCAAGCCCCACTTACTTTCCTTAACAGTTTCAATTATGTATTTAACCTGCCGTATATATGTTCCCGAATAATACACAGTAAACACATATACAAAAAAAGCAAACACACAAATCATATCAGTATTAAAATAAACACCACATTATATTGTTTAACATACTTCTGGCACATGCGGTGTGCGGTGGGTCTAACACGTTCGTGTTTTAGTGGAGCTTGTCAAGCGATTGTGTCGGTTGATTGGGCCTTACTCTTGACAACGTCATTGAATGCTCAAACCCACGTGACCCTCATTTTAGCAAACCCAGTGGTGGATAGAATAAAAAAAACAAGGCGGACAATTTCTGTTCAAACTATGCATTTATTTCTATAATGCATGGGGGGTAGTGGTGGGGCAATGTTTAGCACATACTGTGCTCTCAACCCAGTGTTGCGAGCTTGATTCCTGGCCATGGCTGACATCAGTGGTGAGTGATATCGGTCCTAGGCCTCCTTCAACCTGCCAGCGTGGTCAAGAATGATCATTGACTGACATGGTTGCCTTCATCTGCATTGACAAAGAGACTAACAGGATTGTACAATGAAGACGTATGCAATTTGGACACTCATCATAACACATTAAATTAATGACAATGAAGCTCCCCTCATCATCGGCACTGTAATTAATTACATTTAAACCACGCATAGTGCAGCTTGACGGCAGTTAAAAACAAATCCCCGGCACCTTAACTTGCGATGCAGACAGCGAACCAAGAACTCTCTGATTAAGAGAGAAAACGTGTGCAAGTTTGCTGAATACAATTAACAGCTGGGCAGTCCGACGGTTTCCCTCTCGAAGCCAACACTTGGCCAGGAGGCGTCTGGGCCCCGTGACCTCACTCACTCGCCCTGCCCCCCCCCCCCCAACTTTGGCCATTGGCAACGAGAGGAGTGGCGGCCGAGATACAGCAGCAGGGCGCCTCGAATCGTCCATCCGCCCGCTCCCTCCTCGCCCACCCGCCCGCCCGCTCGCTCGCTCCAGCCGCTCGTACCCTCGCTCGCCTGCCCCAGGATCTCGCCCCCACGATCACACCTTCCCCGACAACACACAAAAAAAATTTGCCAGCTCTCTCGGCGACAGGAGGTGATAGCCGTAATTAGCGTTTTCTTGCACATTGACTGTGATCCCCACCTCAAGCGTGAACGTGCACCTTTGCCGATCTAATTAACATTATCGGCACACAGACAGTAAGGCTTCCTCATTAGATCTACACACATTTAATTAGAACGAGCGGCACAACGAAAATGCATAACAGGGTCAAACTGTAACGCGAGGGTGGTTTTTTTTCTTCTCTCTTCTGCCTCCACTGTCTCTGGGGTTGGTTTTTATTCCGTTTCCCTCCCCTTCTCTTTGTCGTTAGCACTCACCGTGCCCGCTAACAATGCCGCTCTCTGTTTTCACTCGCGAACTTGCACGGACCAAAGGCCCTGCTATGTGTGTTTGTGCGCGTGCGTGCCGTGCCGGTCTTCATAGCTACTTGCTAACAGCACGTGCGGCAAAAGTTTGTCAAGGCGATACCGGGGGATCTTTGCGTTGTGAGTGCCTTACGTGCGAGCTTTTCTAGAAACCTGGTGACCGGAGTTCGATTTCCACTCCTGGCCAAAATCAGTGACGATTCTCTGAATGGGTTGTGGGAATTCTCTAGGTAGACCCAGCCCCAAATGAGTACCTGGTGCAATGTGTAAACATCGCCACTGGGGAGACAAAGGCGGCCCTGGCATGGTGTAGGTCACCCACGCCCTCGTGTGCCGTGCCGACCTTCACCGGTGCTCGCTAACAGCACTTGCGCCAACAACCTGGGAGGACTACAACTGGGGATCTTTGTCTTTGTGCGCTTTACGTGTTGATACTGAGAAGGTGTTAAGCACACACACTGTTAATTCTTGGGGACAAGGGTATATGCTTATTGTGAAATAACACTTTTGTTCGTCCAGTGTACGAGATGTGTGAAGTTCGTGTGCATAATGACCATAATCAGTGCTGGCAGAAGTGCTCTCTGCGGTATAAGAAAGCTAAATGGGGTGTGTAGGTCTGCTTTTGTGTTTAAAATGTGTCTCCGTGTCTCCACGCTTAATCAATGGGGCACTGTGCTCACCTCAAGCCACTACCATTAGCCAGTGGTGGCAATTCCATATTCCTACGGCGTGGAAGGTCAAGCCTCTGCACAGAATGCCACTTCTGACCACGCACAACGTGGTACGTACTCATTGTATTTAAAGATGATTGGTTCTCAACCCCCGAATGAGATATCCTTCAAATTGTGCGTTGCGTGGTCTATCCGCAGACTTTAATGTCACATGGCAGCCCGAGTTTGATTCCCAACGATGGATAAAATCAGGAGCGAGTGATACCTGAACCGGTCCTGTGATCTGTCCCACCCTTCACCAGCAGCCCACGCTGACCAGTGTGGTGAGGTATGGTCAAACAAGCAAGCTGGTGTGCGGAGGTCTCGATGCAGCAGTGGATTGACAAAAGGGTTTCAAATGATTATTATTGCTGTTATAATACAATGAGAGCCGTTGATTTACACCATCATTTGTCTTGCTATAAATACTTCTTGTCCAGAAGCACTTTGCAATGTTTGAGTAATCATCTAAAACGCCGGGTTTTTTTTATTAAACGCTCAAGTTTGTTTAGAAACATTTGTCATCCAATTTGTGGAAAGGTGCAAACGTCACCGAAACATACATTTCGTTGGTTATTGTCCTTAACGATTTGAGCGGAATTCTGTAACAACAAAAAAAAGTGAGAAAAGAACCCGCATAATCAGAACGATAACAACTTGTGTATAATTACGGCC